GAGTAGATCTGAACCCTGACCTGTCTGACCCCAGAGCTGCAGCAGACCTGGAGACATAAGGCTGGAGGACACTTTCAGCTGGAACAGTTGGAAGAGGCTTCATGAGGACATGGTGTTTGAGGTGAGCTTGAGGGATGGCGGAGGACTCCAGCAGGTTGGGAGGGACAGCTCAGGCAAAGCTGCAAGGGGTGTGGAGTGTGCTGGAAGGCGAGGCTAGAGCTGGCAGGAGAGGGAGAACTAAGGCACCTCAGGAGTTTCTGCACTGGGGTAAGAAAGAGGAGCCCAGTGGGTGGAGGGGTCGAGGGACCCAGCTGGGCAGGATGAGAGCAGCTCTGTGGGTCAAACATGCTCAGAAGGGCTGAAGAAGGGAGAACCTTGAAATTATACCTCATGGAGAAAAAAGTGGAAGACAGAGAGAGAGGGCGGAGTGAACTCCCACACAGAGCCTGGAGAGCAGCGCCCTGGGGGCGCTGGATGGGCAGGCGTGGGTCAGAGAAGGGCTTTGCTTTTGTTTTCTGTAAGTCAGACGCTGCAGAGGAGGAAGTACAAGTCTGGTGAGGACGTCTGGTGTCTGACAGAGGAGCTGAGAACATAAGCCTGGGGAGACTTCACTGCAATCAAACCAAAGAGCAAACGCAGGGCAACGCCCAGGGCCTTCCACGAGCAGCTGGGACGGAGGGACAGGACTCCAGCAAGGGCTTGCATCACTGCTGATGACCAGATGGGTGACAATGACATCTAACACGCCCAGCTGCACAGCGAGTCCCAGTTCACAAAGCACTTTCACTTCAATTCCAGATGTCTGCACGATGAGCTAGCAACCTTGTCAGGGAGAAGTGTTGCTACAAGCCACTTTGCAGAGTAGGACAGAACTGTCCCCTAGAAGGATTATCAACTTGGCCAAAGTCACACAGAGGAGGCCCAGCCATGGACTGAGGTCTCCTGCTCCTCCTAGCACAACGATATTGATCTGATATTGAACTTTTATTGCTTTGTCGCCATTCGCTATACTGGCTCCAGTTTTATTTCACTTTTTCCAAAGAAAACCCCTTCTCAATAGGCAGATTTTCCACATTGAAGACAGTCAAAGAGCAGGTCAAAAAATTGGTAAAGGCAATTTCAACCTTCTCTGATATTCCAGAGCACCTGTACACAAGAAGAGATGTATGTCCCAAAAGTCATCAGCTTTTATCCGTATTTTCTTACAATATTTGTTCTTTGAGGGCCAGGCCCCCGTGGGGCTGCATAACTTACTCAATAAGGTGTTCTTTGATGAGCTAGTGTTCACTTCTTGAGGAAGTTATACAATTACAAAGTTATTTTCCAAATAATTTGTATAGGTAGTAGATTTGTTTTACAGCCCACAGTTATTATTTGGAAAACTGCATGCTTCAAACCAAGTTACTTAATCCCTGTAAAACTAAGTTTCTGAATTTTGAGGATGTTCCAGACTGAGTTTAGCTCATTGCAGCAGTGATCTTAGGGGAGTATGGGGGGTCCATTCCCTTTGGCCCTCAGCCTCCAGCTGCCTGATGAGGGGCTTCAAGCAGGTGGCCTCTGGTCCTCTGTGATTCTGCAACTGCAGAACATGTGGCTCTGCATGGCAGGATCTCTTGGGCTCCTGGGCCAGGCAGGCACCTGGCAGGGGTGACATGGCTGGGTATGGTTATGGGTTCTCAGTCTGGCACTGGTGACATTCTGGTCACCTGTGGTCCTGTGCCCTGGAAGGTGTTCAGCATCATCCCTGGCTTTTGCCTACCAGATGCCAGCAGGGCTACTCCCCAAATCATGCTGAGCAGAAATGCCTGCAGACATGGCCAGATGTCACTGGGGCACAGCACCCTGTTGAGGCCCCCAGGGACAGTGGGAGCTGTGACTGCCTGGGCTGACTGCAGACCACAGACGCTGGATCCTGACCCTCCTCAACCTCCTCAGCAGCCCCAGCACATTCACAAACACAGGGGCCAGGCCTGGTGGGCCTCCACGCTTCCCACCTGCTCACCACATGACCACTCCCTGTTTTTCCATGTGTTACACGCACAACAACACAGCACGGGAGGGTGAGCGGATGAGGGAATACAGGCCAGCTGCACCATATCTGCACAAAGCCCCACACACTTGAGCACCTGTGCACAATTTAAGAAAGAAGACCTCATGTGTCAGCACGTCAGGGCGTGCACATCACATAAACAATGATGGATGGGATCCCAGACAGAAAATGATCTATCTCGGTGGGGAAGTCCACAGTAAAAACGACCACACTCTTTCTTCCCTCACGGACACATTGGCAGGCCCTCCTGCTTTGGGCAGAAATTCTGATAAAGGTCTCGTCTCACTGGACCTCCATCCCTCCCCTTCCTGAGACATCCTCAAGAACACTCGCAAATAACACCTCTTTCCATTTTTGCTCAGGGACCACTTTGGAAACTACACAGAAAAGGTAATTTGACTTCTGTTCAACTTTACACGGAAACTCCTTCATAGAAAATTTCAATGCATGTAAGCACATGTGGGCAGAATGCTGACATTTTATGAGGTGCACATGGTGCCGGACTGAAGTGGTCAAGGGGAGAACCAAGAACGTGCCTTCTGGCCAGACTCTGGCCGTGCTGCTGCTACTGAGCGTGTGGCTGCCACGTGCAACACACTTTTCATTTGCAAGGCTGGAGCCAACCTGCCCAGCTCTCCCCCTTTATTCGTGAGATAATTATACACAAGCAGATACACACTGCTGCTCCTCCTCCTTCTAGGTGGGCACCTGTATGCCAGACCACCCCCCCCCCCCCAAAAAAAAAAAAAAGAAAAGGAAAAGAGAAGGAAGAAAAGAAAGCAAACCCACAGTGCACCATACCTGTCATGTCTCAGGGCTCTCATGTCGACATAGACGGTAGTTGGGTCTGGTCCCGAGGTCCCCTGCGAGCAACACACAGTGTGGTTAATGCAAGTCTGCCTGAAAGAAGATGGGGTTAGTGCTTTCTGCTGGCTGGTAAGCACTGCTCTGGTAAAATCTTAAACAGAAAAAAACCTAAAAGCACTAAAACCACATCCCTCCAAGTTATCTGTTAACTTTCAGTTTGATAACCAAAATCCCAAAAGGAACACCGTATTAGGATAAATCTGGACTTTCCCACAGTGTGACTACCAACCACACATATAAAAATATGAAAGAGAAGGCACATGCTACACATTTTGCCAAATAGGAGATGGCTGAAACCACTGAGGAAGTGGCTGGCCAAGCAGGTTGCCAGGGTGTGCAGCATCACTGCCGAGAAACTTTCACTATGTGCACCCCAAAAGGTGCATTTCTAACACTCGAGATGCTGGAGCAGACACGTGTATGAACTGAACAGTCTGAAGAGAGAGAGATGAAAGAGTTACTGTGGTTCTTCTAGTCTACTTGTGGCTCAGTTCTCCAGCCTCAGCAGAGTGTGTTCTTCTGTGATGTAAGTCAAGGAGGTTGTATTTATCGTGGGCAGTGGCAGGATTCTGCGGTCTGAGCTATCTAACTGTCCACTTAACACAGGGTTCCAGAAATCTTATCTGGTATCATAAAGCCCCTCAAAAAATATGCCAGGTTGATTTCTGGCCAGTGATCTCTATAAGGCCACATCACAAACCAACGTTTTACATATATGTCTTGGGAAGGCAGTACAACACCTTGGTTGGAAAAAGATGGAACTTACAACAAATTTGCCCAAAAAAAAAAAAAAGTAGAGGGGGGCTTCAGAATTTATTTGAAGAACTACACTAAAATTCTTCCGGAAAGAATCCCAATTTTGTACCAAAGGTATGTTTAAATATAAGAAAAAATAGAAATAAAGGAAATAAAGGCAACCTCATTAGAACATACTATAGACTACTCAATCATCCTGGTTATTGGTATCTCACCATCAAGGTAGCCAAAAAGAACAGCACATGCAAATCAGCCCTGGTGGAAGCCCACTGTGAAGCTCACTGTGACAGCTCAACGTAAAGGGTTTCCTCCTAACCTGGGGCCACCCGGGACTCTGAGTCACAGACAGAGACCTGGTCTGTGTTCTGAGCAGTGTGATCACGCGATGACAGAAGGCCAATTAAAAACAGGCTAGAAAGCAGGTCACTGGAAGTGGAAATGAGGCAGACTGGAGATGAACCCAAGCCGGTAAGAAGCGGCTGGGCACGTGCAGTGGAAACACAGACGTGTCACATGTGAGGTGCTTGAGGAGACCCGAGCAGCGATCCCACCCTGGGCACAGCCTGGGCTCCCTGCTCCACTCTACACTCAAACTCCAGTCTGTCCCCTGTGGAAGTGGACGGGGCGGAGGGCGGCGGGGCGTGATGAACAGGAAGGTCCCTACCTGCTCGGCCAGCGTCCACAGCCTGTGGGGCTACAGCAGCAGGAGGTGGGGACGAGAAGAAAGGAGAGAGCACCAGACCGACAGAAACCGGAAACAAACGACACACAGACACACAAACAGAACAGCCCGACAGTTAAAAATGGGATGAGGAGGAGGGAGGGGTGGGGAGGAGAATGCAGAAAGCAGGGAACAAAGTAAAAAAAGATCAAAAACAATGTCAAATACGGAGACCTTTAAAATCCACTGCTGTACCATTAATGGCTAAAGAAAAAATGTAAAAGATGTCAGCGTATCCACAGAGCAACAGAAGAGAGTAATACATGACTAACCATGGACACACAGATCTGAGTGACTTTCTAAAACAAAAGGTAAATGGTATTACTGGACAGTTGAATTTCCTGGGGCTGGTTTTTTTTTTTGTTTTTTTTGTTTTTTTTTGAGATTCTTTTCCTTCCAAGGGAAGTGGGGACTATACATTTTACTGGCTAAATCTGCTGACCGTTTCTTCATTGAAATAGTTCCAAGTTTCCTTTTACAATAATGGGAGAGCCTGGAAACTTTTACATCTAGAACTAGGGCACCTAGCCCTGTTCACCCTTGAGATTGGGTAAAAGGAAAGAAGCGAAGTGCATCAAAAGCATGGAGGAAGCAGACCTCGGCTCCTGTGCAGTCTAGTTCGGTGGCCTGCTAGGAACTCCAGCGACCAGCACGGCTGCCGCTCCACAGACAGGCCAGCTATGCTCTGTTCTCATTGTCCTGCGTGGCTATGATGCTCGCCTGCTACACATGCTGCATTAAGTTAACGACTTCAGCAAGGCAGGAAAACTCCAGGAAGCAACTCAGACAACTCCTCGATGCAGCCTGCTCCTCCCTAGACCACTGAGGTGTCTCTTTTCAGTACAGCTGTGGCTGTGTGATGACGTCTTGGTGAATGCAGTCCACATACAAGATGGTGGCCCCTAAGATTGTAATACCATATTTCTACTGTGCCTTTCCCATGTTTAGGTACATTTAGGTGCATAAATACTTACTATTGCGTTACAACTGCCTGCAGCATTCAGTCCAGTAGCGTGCTGCCCACCTTGTAGCTGGGAGCCACAGCTGTAGTGGACAGTTGGCTGTACCATTTGGGTTTGCGTGAATGCATACTGTGACATTCACGCAACGGTGATGCTGCCTAGGGATGTGCTTCTCGGAGCATATCTGCATTGTTAAGCAACGTGTGACTGTATTCCCAGCAAGCTAGAAAGAACAGAGGATTTTCACAGGCACCTTGACTGATGCAATCATATGGCCTAGCACCAACCCACACGCCCTACAGTGGCCGTTGCTAGGTACACACAAGACAGCAGCAGCAGCAGTAAAGAGTTCTTAATGGTTTTCTTTGGGCTGCAATTTGGTAAAAAACAAAGCCAGAGTGAAAAACTACCACCACTCAGAATGAAGCTGAGTCTGTAAAAATGAGCAATGGCTCACGGTTAAAAAATAATTCCATCCTTCTGTTAACTTATGTTGCTGTGGCAGTCGTTGCTATTGCATCTCTCAGCATCCTCATCTTTAAAAAACAGAGGTGGGATCTGAAGAAAGGGAGCAGAGGAGTGTGCTCTGAAGGCACACTGGACTTCTGCTGGTACATTCACGCCGACTGCAACAACCTAAATCATTCCTTCCCTCTGGATTCCTTGACGCTGAAACATTTACTGGAACAAAAATAAGTCAATGTTCTCTCTAAATGGCTCAAGGAAGCATTTCAGGAAAAACATGCATGACTGGGACCTCGTTTTCTATTTTGTACTGTTGTGCAGGAGACAACACAGTGTCGGGATGAAGCAGGTCTAGGCATTAATGAAGGAAATTCACAGAGGAGGGGGTAAAGAGTTGAAACATTTCAGAAACCCTAAGGCACAAAGTCTCACATTTCAAGACACATATTAAGGAGTGTGTATTTAACAAAATCTTCACATTGCCAGAGAATGCCAGCCAGTATCACTCAACTAAGGAGATTCCTGATGCATGTGTGTGCCCTGAGCAAAAGCTTATTCAGAAATAATGATACAGCATTTCTGAAGTTGCAAGTTGTTAATGAGAAAAGAGGATACACTTTAAAATTGTATAATAAAAATGTTATACATACTAAAATCATTTTCTCATGGATAGAAAAGTATTATATCAACTAGATACTAAGAGTTTACTGAATAAATGAGTTACATTTAAATCTCAGCTGAAGACACACAGACACATCCCAACAGCACAGAAAATCCCAAACAGTGCTCCTTTCAACACTTGAGCTGATTGGCGATTTGACGCTGCAGCTATTCACACACTATGTTGCTAGCACAAGTTAGTATCAGCACACAGGAATACACGAAGTAGAAACATGAAATCATGAAGCGATTCCAAAGCACTGATATTGGGATTATCTGCTATGCTAGACTTGCGAGGGGACAAGAAAAAGCTTGTGCCCTGTATCTCTATACCAACGATGCTCTCCAGACTACCTGTGGGGAAAATGCCACAAAACTCGACTACCTCTTTGTCCTCCAATTCTCAAAAGAATTTCTCTATTCACATG